GACCTCTTGAAAACCCATTTTTAGCACCTTGCCAACCCATAATGTACTTGTGATTAGAAAGTTTAAGGAAGGAAATGACTATTTCTCTTCCCCATGACAGCCTCATCGCCGCCTGCATCATGAACCCTCCCTCCACTTTTCTTTTCAAAACTATCTTTTCTAAAAACCACTTCCCAAAAACCACTTTTCAAAATTACACCCCTTTCAAACCACCTCTCCATAAACCCACTCCCCCCAAAACCACTCTCACTTTAGAAAGCCCTCACCCAAAACCACTCTCAATACCCCACTGTCGACGAAACTCATGGCAAGGATGAGGAGAATGGCAAATCGCGAACCACCACCGCCACCAGTCCGGCGAAGTAACCGCCGGCGGGACATCGCCACCGCCCCGCGACACTCCGGCGCTCCTGCGGTTGTTGACCTAATCGCCGGCGACTCATCTTCCTCCTCGCCAGCCTCGTCGTCGTCGCATACGCCAGATATCACGAGTCCACCATTGCCACCACCCTCAATCGGCGACCCTCTGTCTTCTCCACCGTCGCCACCGCGTCAGCCGAACACCCTCCCTATCGACGCCAATCCTTCGCCACCGTTAGTTGAACTCGCGCCACCTAGGGCACAACGAGCACCCTCGCGATATCCGCTCCTCCATATCCGCTACCCGATTGTGCCTCCGCCATCGACTTCGCCATCGCCGCCGCCTGAAGCAGGAAGTCGTCCATCACAGTCACCTCCTCCAACGCACCCACCATCACCACACGCAAGGCTAATCGACATCAATCAGCCTCCTCCYTCATCACCAACAGATTCAAGCCCTATTTTGGGCAATGAGGTACCTTCTGATTCACGTTTGCATGAACTGGTGGAGGGACTTACAACCTCTGTTTCATCTGAGGATGAGCATTTTATTCCTCCTGGTTCTCCCTCCACTGTGATTAATCCACAAAAAGTATTCCTTCTTACTTGGTATAATCACCCTTGCACACGTATGCCCGCTGTTTTGGCCGATACCATACCCCACACTGGTGAGGATGAATCGGTAGGGCTTGAGGACATTGTTTTAAATGATATGAATGAGGCTGTTGTTGAACCACCTAATGATCATGAGGCTGAGGTAGAACCTGTTTTAGACACTGATATAGAGGATA